GGGGGGGGCAAGGAGGGAGCGCTGAAGCCGACGGACAAGGGTGCGATGTCGCTTCAGGATGGCTGAGCGATGACGAGAGGGACAGATCGTAACGTGTGAATAGAGTGCCCGACCGATAGTACTGTACAATCGTACGACTTTTGACGGTCAAGCATGTTTGAAAACTTTGGTCGATCGTACGATGTTCGCATGGTTGGTGGCGTTTCCGTCCGTCAAAAGTCGTATGATTAACACTGCGCATGCGCAAATGAAAATAATTGCGGTCAATTACCGCAAATCATCCAGGTGTTTTTTTAACTACAGCTGATTGAACCTTTAGATAATCGGGGCAGGATGGGGCCGTCGTACGAAAATCGTACGACGGTTCGTTCATCGGACGAAAAGTTTTGTCCGATAATCGTAAGGTGTATGGGCACCTTTACTCATAGCAATCTCTCATTGGTTGCTCTGCTATGTGGCCAGGGAACACCCAGCAGGTAACAGGTGCAAATGAAAGCAGATTAATTAGGGGAACCAAATGAACATAGACTACAAATCAGCATCAGACTGCTTACAATCTGACAATAACTACATTTAATAGCACTCCTGTCTACAGAGTGCTACACTACACTGGAAATGTTTCAAGTGACATTAAAGAAGAAACGTCTATAGCTAAGGGCACAAATGATGACAATGTAAAAGAACAATAAAGGAAATATTTTATAGATAGTGCAGCAGCACTACTGTGAAGCATCTCAGGTTTGTAGGCTGGGAGGACTGAGGGAGATTACATTTCTGCTAAAAAAAAGAACTTTTTCTTGGGGGGATACAGATAGAGGGATACAAAGATGTGTGATTGTTGAGTAATTATGAAGAAAATAGAAGCATGTAAGGTTGCATGGCAGAGTCTGCCATAAGTCAATAGGATAGTGCAATTGTTTTCTCACAAACCACTTAACTTGTATGGTCTAAGTGGCATCTGTAAATTGTCAGATTGGTTCACTGATCTCTACTCCAGTCATGTGTAAGCAAGATTGTGCTTATCTCCTGGTGTTTTTTTCCCCCTAGTTCCCCAATTCTTTAACAGACTTCACAGTGTGCTCGCAGAACTTGTATTAGTAAATGTTTAGATTTTCCCTTTGTACCAAAACTGATGCATTAACAGCTTATTAATATACAATAGTATACATCAGGAATGGCACCGCTATCTGGATCAATTTTTCACAAAGCTAGTTTAACTGCATGCAAAACTTATTTTTTTGTGGGATTAAGTAATTAAAAATGTTAAAACTTTTTTTTTATCCTACTTTGTTTTCAATAACAAAAAGGTACAAGAAAAGAATGCAAAACAACAATGAGAAAACAACATTAATAACCATATGTATCGAAAGATACATAGAAGGTATCAACAGGGTATATAGTACTTAAAAACTGTAAAATCAACAACAACGTAGTAAAATATGGAATACTCGCATAGTTAACCGCTCTAAATGAAATCAAAGCATCCTCAAAATGAATAGGGGAGGGTGTGTGGTGGGGGGAGTGGGTTTATTAAAGGGAGGGAGAGAAAAGGATGGGAGAAAAGGAAGGAGAAAAAAAGGAGGGGAGGTCAGAATAAAATAGGGGAGAACCAAAAGAGCAGTAGTGTACTGAAAGTCAAAGAGTGAAGAGGGCCCAGGTAAGTGTATCTGATGGTACTTGGCCTGAAGAGAAAATTGTAAATCTTCTAGAGAAGGTAAAAAAAGGCAAATCAATTATCCTTTCCATTTAATTGCTGGTATTGCTCACTCTCCTGGAATACCAGCCTAGAAAACCAGGCCTTTTTGGGGTTTTATTGCCTGTCTGTGTCCCCACTAAAAAGATTTTCCATTAATACTTATTGACAGGGAATTAGAAGGACAGGAAGTGATAAATGTTTCTCACAAGGACACAGACATCAACAAATGTATTTATTTAGTCATTTTTGTGTTTGTTTTTAGTAGGGTAGGGTAAAAGTTAGAACATTCAAGGTTTCTATTGTTATCTGTCCTGGTGAACCCCATTTCCTTCATGTCTAGTACTGGTGTTTCTGGGATAAAAGTACAGAAGAATTTCCCAATGGAGTCACAGACAGCAAAAAACAAACAAACATAAGTTCTAACCCTTCCCCACTCTATATGGATATGTACACATTTGTATCTGGCATTGAGTTATTAATTAAAGTTTAATTATTTCCGGTTTTCAGTAAAAAAATCAAAAGCAGCTGATGAGAGACGGAAATCTATGGCTAAACAGGCCAGGGATGACTACAAAAGGCTGTCAATGCAGGCCATTAATAAAGGAAGTGTGGCTGAGAAGGCCCAACATTTTGGAGACATTAAACGACCCCTTTTACCACCTAAACCAAAGCTATCTTCATCTACAAATAGTAGGATAAACAGGTAAGGCAAACATTTTTTTAGTAATTCTTAAAATGTTTGACGCTAAATTGATGGGTAGAATTTAAGGTTGTACCAAACCTGATGCTTCACTGAGCCAATGAAAGTGCAAATTTGGCTTTGAACATGGTGGGAGTGCAATAATCTGTTTGGGTTGGTTCTGTGATTTGAAGTTGTCAAGTGTTAAAAAGGAGTGCATGTGGTCAGTAAAAAATATCTAAGCAGAAGGTGCTGTCACATGCCTTCAGCAGTTTCTTAGTCCTCTGCCACACCTGTATTCAAGCTTTGTCTCTTGCCCATCTTCTGTTGTATCCTGCACATACCTATTATCCCTGTTATAATGGTGATGGGCCAATAGAAATATGTGAGAATCAGAAGGGGGCAGGCAAGCTTTGACCACTTTCATTTTTTTTTTATGGCTGTCTCTGTTCCTATTGAGGAAATTTGCCCTTTTACTTCCTGTTCCCCTAACATGAGGGCAGAGAAACTGGAAGTAATTAGAACTGTTAGAGCTTCTATGAGGTTCAATTGCTACAATTTGCTTTCTTTTTCCTGGTGGCATCCGTTAAGCTTATATTAACACCTTCGTTGATACTTCCAGCTCCCTGTCTCGGTCTCCCCCTTCGTGTACGCAGCACTTGGCGGCAGTTCTGTGTGATGAGGGGGCGGGGAGTACACCGCTCCCTCTCATTGGCTGCTGCCCGGCTGGATGATGCTTCACGCTGCGCCCGGAACAAGATGAGGGGAGCAGCGTGAAGCATGTAGGGCCCAGGACGGGAGGAAGAGGTCACCAGTGGCCCCTTCCTCCTGTCCTGGGCCCCCTCCAAGTGGCCGAACTCCAGGGCCCGGTCGCGGCCGCGACCTCTGCCACCCTGGTAGTTCCGCCACTGGTAAGGCTAGTTCACACCAGCCACAGTGTGTTCCGGCCTGATTTGGGCCGGAAGGCACTGGATCGCATTGCGGCCAGCTCAATTTGTGTTGGGGCAGGAGGGGGCGTGGCATTGAACTCAATGGCGCCGCAGCCATGCCCTGCGGCCGCAGTGTGAAAACTGCTGCAAGAACTATTTTTTCTGACCGGTCTGGAACGCAGACAGTGATGTGCTACGCGTTTCCGTGCGGCCGATTACCCTGCGACTGGAGGGTGTGGATACGGTGCCATTGAATTCAATGCACCTCCACGCTCCTTTCCGCTCCAACACAAAGTGAGCCGGCCATAATATGATCCAGTGCATTCTAGCCCCAATCAGGCCTGGAGCGCACTGTGGCTGGTGTGAACTAGGTAAGAGAAGAAGGTCACGTACTAACTATTTACAGAGCACAGCTGACTGCAGTGTTAGTCTTAGCGTTCAAGTATGCCCAATAGCAGGGGTGGACTGAGCCTATAGAAAGACCTGGAGGAGGGTCAGACAGCTGTGGCACTACAATCACCAGCCACAACCAGTGTGCAGTCAGAAAGTCATCAGGCTGATCTAACAGCATGGTCAGTAACAAGCAAAGGTCAGGTCAGGTGGGAATCTAATAGTGTGGTCTGTAATAGGCAGAGGTCAGGTGGGAATCCAATATTGGGCTTGGTAACAGATGAGAATACAGTAGTGTAGTCAATAACAAGCAGAGGTCAGGATCAGGTGGTAAACCTAATAGTGTGGTTAGTAACAAGCAGATGTTGGGTCAGGTGAGAATCTAATACCTTGGCCAGTAACAAGCAGAGGTCGGGTCAGGTTGGAATCTAATACCTTGGCCAGTAACAAGCGGAGGTCATTTTAGGTGGGAATCTAATAGTGTGGTTAGTAACAAGCAGAGATCGAGTCAGGTAGGAATCAACTAGTTTGGTCAGTAGCAAGCAGAGGTTGGATCAGATAGGAATCTTATAGCATGGCTAGTAACAAGCAGAGTTCTGGTCACGGGGGAATTTAATAGCATGGTCATTGCCATGAAGAGACTGGGTCAGGGCCAATCTAACAGCATGGTCAAGAACAAGCAGAGCTTAGTTAAGGTGGAAATCTGGTAGCTTGGTCAGAAACAAGCAGAGGTCGGGACAGGTGGAAATCTTATAGCATGGTCAATAACAAGCGGAAATCAGGTCAAGTGGAAATCTTATAGCGTAGTCAGTAACAAGCGGAAATCGGGTCAGGTGGAAATCTTATAGCATGGTCAGTAACAAGCATAGTTCCGGTTAGGAGGGAATCTAAGACTATAGTCATTACCAAGCAGAGGTTGGGTCAGGTGGCAATCTTACAGCATGGTCAGAAACAAGCAGAGGTTGGGTCAAGTGGGAATCTAGTAGCTTGGTCAGAAACAAGCAGAAATTGTAAATCTTATAGCGTGATCAGTAAAAAGCAGAGGTTGGGTCAGGTGGAAATCTAATAACATGGTTATTACCAAGCGGAGGTTGGGTCAGGTGGCAATCTAATAGCATGTTTAGTAACAAGCAGAAGTTGGGTCAGGTGGGAATCTAATAGCTTGGTCAGTAACAAGCACAGGTTGGGTCAGGGGCAGGGCCCCATTAAAAGCATCATGGGCCTTGTGCTGAGGATTTCAGTGGGCCTTTTTATGGAAATGTTGACGATCACTGTGGCCCTCTTCCTCCTGTCCGGGCTGTGACTTGTAGTCTCTCTACAGCTTGGAGTCAGTGGTGGAGCTCTCTACTGGCTCTGTAGAGAGACTGCAAATCTCAGCAATACATTATACAGCAATACAGAATATCGCCAACTCTAGAGGACTACAAATCCCAGTAATACATTACACAGCAATACAGAATAATACCACCAACTATAGAGGACTACAAATCCCAGCAATACATTACACAGTAATGCAGAATACCACCAACTATAGAGGACTGCAAACCCCCAGTAATGCATTATACAGCAATGCAGCAGAACACCAGCTATAGAGGACTACAAATCCCAGAAATACATTATAAAGCAATGCAGAATGGCACCAGCTATAGAGGACTACAAATCCCAGCAAATACATTAAGTACTGCAGAATAATACCATCAGCTACAGAGGACTGCAAATCCCAGCAATACATTATGCAGCAATGCAGAATACTATGATGCTACATACTCTGTGTTGCTCCGGGTTCACGGCCTTATGTCTCCAGGGTCTCAGGAGGGCTGTGTGAAGTTTCTGGGGGCTGTGCAGGCTCTCAGGAGACTGTTCAGGCTCTAAGGTTGCCAGTGCAGCTCTCTGGCGGTCGGTGGGGCTCTCTGGCAGTCAGTGGGGTTGCATATGGTCAGTGCGGGCTCGGGGTGGTCAGTGCGGGCTCCGAGTGGTCAGTGCGGGCTCCGGGTGGTCAGTGAAAGCTCTCACCAGGTATGCCATGAGTGACACTGGTGGTTCTCTATTCAGGCTGTGACCGGCCGCAATTCAGGCATATTAGAGGGCCACTCGTTGGGGACTCTTGGGGCCCCATTGAGGAGCGAGCGGCCCTGTAACATGCCTGAATAGAGGGCCGTCGCTGCCTGATTGAGGCCGGTCACCAGCCCATATTGCCATAGGGCATATCAAGGCGATCAGGGTCGGCCGGGCCTATTTGCAGGGGCGGGCAATAATCCGGCACTAGTCAGGGGCAATCTAATAGCATGGTCAGTAAAAATAAGAGGTTCAGTCAGGCAGCAATCCAAAAAGAGTAGTTACAGGTGCAAGAAAACAAGCAGAGGTCATGTCAGGTGAGAATCTAATAGCTTGGTCAGTAAAAAAAAAAAGAGGTTGGGTCATGTAGCTTTTAAAAAAGAGTATTTACAGGTGCAACAGAGAATAAACAGAGGTCAGGTGGGAATCTAATGGCGTGGTCAGTAACAAGCAGAGGTCGGGTCAGGTGGGAATCTAACAGCGTGGTCAATAACAAGCTAGGGTTGGGTCAGGAGTCATACAGCAATTCAAACAGAGCAGTGACAGGTGCAAGAGAATGCCAGGGTAGAAACTCTATCACAGGCCCAGAGTATCAGGCAGTGAGCTGAAAGGGGACAGTGTGAGCTCGGCTATACCTGTTGCTGAGTGTAATCACAGGGATAAAAAAAGAAAGGAGGAAACTCTCCAATGGAGTCAAGACAGCACTGACAGAAGTTGCCGTCCTTCACCATCCTATTGATAAAACATTTTGGCTGTTTGGAAGTTGGGTTTTAATCAGGGTGGAAAATATACACTTGCACGTTGTTTACTGTGCATTAATAGGTTTCTTTAGTGTCTAGCAATCTTATCAACCTAAAATTTGTAATGCAAACAATTAGAAGTGCAGTGCAAATTTATGAAATGTTCACTAAATGCTAAATATGTTTACCAAATTGCAGCTTTTATGACTGGCCTATAATTGTACTATATTACAGAATTTTCCCAAGTGTGTTAGTAGAGTAACGTCTGCAAAATTTAACCCCTTCGTGACTGACGACGTACACTGTACGTCGCCAGCATCGGGGCTGTTTAAACAGACTCCCGGTGACTTTTGCCGCCGGGACTCTGTTTAAACTTGTAGAGCCGACTGTCGGCTTTACAACAGAAGCGATCCTGGCGACTTACCTGTCGCCAGATCGCTTCTGCGTCCCGAAGAAGGGGCCGCCCCCCCCGCCGGACACCCCCGCCGTGCTTCCCGGGCTCCGTTGCCCCTCCTACGGGCCCGGGACCGGCGATCTTTGTGTCCGCGGGGAGCTGGGGAGGAGGTCGACGAACTTCCGTTCATCGATCCCCTCCCCGTTCTATGGGACCGGGAGCGATGCAGATTGCATCACTTCCGGTCCCTGGGCTGTCAGTTCTGGGCTCCTGCAGCCCAGCTATAAGCTATTGAAGTGCGATCTGCACTTCAATAGCTTATTTCCAGTGTAAAGGTGACACTGAGGGTCTTTTGGACCCCCAGCATCACCTTAAAGAGGACCTGTCACCACCATCTGCTATTACATGGGGGGGCTTGCAAGCCCCCCCATGTGATAGCAGTCAAAGTAAAGTAAAAAAAAAAAAAAAAAACAGTTTTTAAAATTAAAATGAAATAAAATAAATCTAATAATAATGAAAAAAAATTTTAAGTCCCCCGCCCCTGCGAGCACGCGCGTCGCCACGTAAACACGCGTCGGGTGCGCCTACGCATGAAAACGACGAACGCGCTACACATGTTGGGTATCGCCGCGCACGCCGGAGTGAGAGCAATAATTCTAGGGCCAGTATTTTGGGGTATTTCTAAATTGATGACCTGTGGGGGCTTTTAAAGTGTCTTTTATTGACTTTTTGGGGTACTGCAGTTTTTCGCCGTTTCACGGTCGCACGCAATCTGTAAACTGGGCATGTTGGGTATCGTTTTACTCGTTGTAACCTCATCTTTTATATTTCATTTAAAAAATGGGTAATTTGTTGTGTTTTGGGGCATTTAATTAAATTTGTCACTAAATTTTGGGGTTTAATAAGGAGTTGCGCTAATATTGCGCAACATAAAAATTTTCAACTACCACCATTTTATTCTATAGGGTCTTGGCATTCAGAAAATATATAATGTTGGGGGGTTTTACGTCATTTTCAGGCCTAAAATGTGGAATATAACATTGGTGCAAAAATTTAAAAAAGGGCCTCAGTCATGAAGGGGTTAAAATTCACTTATAAAATTGAGTAGTAAAGAAAGAAATATGAGACACCTTAAAGAAGTATTGTCCTGGTTGAACAACCAGCTTTTCCTGTTTTTAGGTAGGATATAATAAGAAATAACACTTTGAAAATGTGTTTAGTGTGTACTGTATAGACCTCTTAAGCTTTCTTTTGATTTCTTATTTTGTAATGCATCAATTATTTTATTCTTTAAGATCTGAACGAAGACAGGGTTTACGAAGATTAAATTCCAGCTGCACACGTGATAATATCATCAAATGGTTTAGAGAGGAGCAACTTCCTCTACAAGCTGGCTGGGACAGATCTGGAAGCAGCATTGCACCTTGGTTTCATGGTAAGCACCTGTCATTACTAACTGGTGGTGTCCATATACCATGGCCTAGCTAGTAGGAGGAGCATGACCTCCAAATGGCACAGACCTGTATTCAACCCAAATTGCACTATTTTATATAACATGGGTATCTGTGAATCTTCTAGTGTGCACTAGTTTGATTTCTTAGTGATGTATGTAGCCACTTCTGGGCCTGCTAACCCTTTTCCCTCAGCCAGTCGCACAGGAAAATGATAACTAACACAGTGATTGTATAAATACCTTTGCAAAGTAAAGGTTTGCTGCTAATTCTGTCCATTTGTGGTGTCAGTAAAAGTTAATATCAGAGAAAAGTTAAAACATACAATAGGTTGAGTGGAGGAGGATTTTACCAACTATTTAACCTTTACTGAGTTAGATGATACCATGGTATTGGTGTCTTTATACCCAATTCCCAGCAATTCAACCTATCAATAATATCGGAAAATAAAAGTTTTATTTATGAAACCTTACTCTGGGCAGATGCCCTTCGCATGGCACTAGCGCCCCCTAGGTGGCACTGAGAATATAGGAAGCTTTACAAATTAGTTACGTAGTTTTTAGAAAAATAATTAGGAGTATCAAACACTCTGTGCTTAGGCATCCTAACTAACCTACAGCTGCTGTGTGAACTCCAAACCAGATATTACTTAAACTACACAACACTCCTATTATACAAATAATCATTGGCTCATGTTACAATATATCTAAAATAAAAAAACGTATCTCTATAAAAATCAATGTCTTATTGATCATCCCATCAATGGTAACTAGTAGTGTCCGGAGTCAGTGACGTCCTCATACTTGGTGGGAAGCTGCTTGCTCTCAGAGAGACCAGAAGAGAAGGTGCATTAGCGGATACTTGGTATAGCACCTTTAATTTAATGACACATCACACAGACCATAAACAAGAGTGCTTAGTCAACTGAGCCCACTTTTCCTTACTCCTATTGTCCAAAACATCAGTCACACTATCTGTATATATGAATGCAGTCATTAACATGACACTAAACTTAAGATTTAATTTAAATTAAATCTTAAAATACATTCAAGTAACCTATTAATAAAAATGTGTCTCATTTGTGTATCACTCAGCTGTAGATCCTCAAATCATCTCTGAATTGGTGCTGACACTGTCCTTTCTTCTGGAGGGGGGGCTACTTTTGTTCCGCATGGTCCCTGTGTGTGTTGTAAAGTAGCCACCGCTGCAAGTTCGCTCCTGTGATGGACTACAATCTCACTTTTAACGTACTCATTTGTATTGGAATTATAGTCTATCATGTGAGGGAACTTGGAGCAGTGGCTACTTTACAACACACACAGGGACCATGGGGAACAAAAGTAACCACCCTCCAGAAGGAAGGACAGTGTCAGCATGAATTCTATGAATTCTATGATATGAGGTCAGAGACTTCATCATATCTTCACTACCAAACACACTAGATCCATTACAGTTCGCTTATCGGCCAAACCGTTCAACAGATGATGCTATCACCCACCTCCTTCATATATCGCTCACACACTTAGACACTAAGAAGGGCAACTATTTCAGGATGTTGAGAGAAGATTTAAATATATACACCTGAGTGATAATAATCTACATTTCTCATAATAGTTAAGGTACTTGATGCATTTGTATGATTTAACTCCTGAGTTTAGTGTCAGTTTATACATTCAGATCTGCAGTATAACTGCAGCTATAGTACATTTGCTGTCACCTAGTGGACATGCTGAATACATTCTCTACAGTATTTTGTGAGCTAATTCCTGTCATCCTGCTCTTCCGGAAATTAATATTTAATCCTTCATACTTCAATATTTAAGGGATAGTTTTGAATGCCAGCCTTCGAGATATTAAATAAACACCACCAGAAAACCTTATCTGCCAGTTTCTCTGGAATCAACTTCTAGCTGTTTGCAGTTTGTATGAGTCATACTTTGTGTTGCCTAAGGCAGAGTATTGATTTTTGTGTGCTGATATAGCAAATAAAACTAGTAAAAACACACATTACTTCCCGGAGCACACTTTACTGAACAAGGAAGTCTTACTGTTGTGTGTTAAGCCTTAGCCGTAAATGACTATCACCCTGATCTGTAATTTGAAGGTCCCTAAAATTTCCATACAAATATACATTTTCTGAAAATTGGTATTTGCCCAAGTCACGGTACTCCCCATGTGCCTGTTAACAGGGTTTCAGCAGAGTCTTAAGGTAGGTGCTTACTTTATGTTGCCTAATATACAGTATCAGGCATACCAAAGTTATGGATATGTTTTAAACTTAACATACACATTATAATCTGACCAAACAATCTTTAGACAATCAACTTTAGATTTACCAAAACTATGTAATATATACCTAAACTATTCAATCAACAGTATCCAAATCAGGCATTAGATAGTTGTTGGTAGATCTAAAGGAGATTGAACAGTCAGATTGTAATGTGCTAAGCTTTAATAGGATATAATGTTGCAAAATATGTATATTATAGATGAGCAAACCAACCTGCCAAGTTCAGTTAAATAGAAAAAAACAGCGCTAAGAATCAAATAACACTCTAAGGTCTCGTTCACACCTAGGCGTATTGCATATGCGCGACCGTCGCGGTAAAAAAGTTGCGCGACAAACACGCGTTTCCGAAGGCTACTTGGCTGTATCCCAATGGAAACGCGCAACAAAATGGCCCAAAGTAGTACATGTACCTTTTATGCATGAAATGTGTACGTATAGAAAATCCTATGTTAAATCTCACAAGTAATGTACAACTCCCTCTTAATCTACATAACCACATGTGAAGTCCATTACTTCTTAATACAATAAAGGCCTTGAAATATGTGAGGATATATCTTCCAACTTTTATAATCATCACCACATCCGTGAATGCATAAACAATTAGTGAATCAATGCTCTCCAGTCTCCACCGTGCTCAAAGATAAGATCTGGCCGACTCCTATTGCTCACCATATTTCAGATGAACAATTAGCGCTTTGTTGATATATATAGAACCAAATCCTCTCCTTTGTTTTTAATCCGACAATAAATTGGGGTAGATTCCTCCCAACTCTGGCTTATCTTTCCAGAATCGTGTAAAACTATTCCTCCTTCTTCCACCTTCTCTTGTGCTCAGAGAGAGAAAAAAAGGCTTCCCATAGTGTAGTATGTCAGAATAAATTTATTTAAAACCATTACAATGCACTTACAATTAAAATAAGGCAATTGCACATGGGTTGTGTCCACTGGAGCTCCTGTCTCTATGATTGTAATGCTTGCATAGATCCGCCCACCTGATGCATTTCGTCACTATTGACTTCCTCTGAGGCGACGGTCTGCATACGACTACGACGAAATACAACATATTTCAAGGACTTTATTGTATTAAGAAGTAATGGCCTTCACATATGGTTATGTAGATTAAGAGGGAGTTATACATCACTTGTGAGATTTAACACAGGATTTTCTATACGTACACATTTTATGAGATGTACTAGCACTTTTTTTTTTTCTATGTTTATTATGGTTTATAGCAGGGGTAACCAATCTCCGGCCCTCCAGCTGTGGGGAAACTACAAATGCCATGATGCATCTCTCTCTGGGAGTCATGTCTGTGGCTGTGAGAATCTTGCAATGCCTCATGGGATTTGTAGTTCCACCACAGCTGGAGGGCCGGAGTTTGGTTACCCCTGGTTTATAGTGTCTAGACAATTAGACCTAGAGCTTTTTCTTTCTTACTATCATCAGCACAGGCATTGTGCAACACAGGTGTATGACACAAAATTGTTTATCACTTTGTGAAAATTTCACATTTCATACTATTTTTCTCACATTTTAGGAATATTTTTTGAGTTTGAAGCGCAGTGCTATTTTCTTTTTGCCAAGTTCAGTACCTGACTGAATCAGGGCAGTTCATGGCCGGAAGAAAGAAATTATGGAATATACCACAAATTGCAACTCCCTCTCTCAGTGACTGGTAAAGCAGTCCACTGGACAACATATTGTTTACTCCAACCCAAGTTAAGTAAAAAGGATATTTCACATTTATGCTCAACTCTATTAACAAGAGGTTGCAAAAACTATCTGAAAAGGGTATGTACTGGCTTTGTCTTTGTTCATTCAGTAGCACCATCTAAGATCCTTGCATGGCCAGAATAAATGAATCATAATAAGATTGGGTTTCTATGAAAGGAGAACACAACTTTTGGTTTGGATGCTACATGGAATGAGAGCTGCATTTGATGTAGCAGGAAGTCTGCACAGTTGTGGCTCTCTTGTAATAATGATACAAGCTCATATGCTTGCCGTGACAGGCTCATATCTTTGGGAAAGGGACATCGTTTTATTTTCTTAAAAACATAGGAACATAAAAAAAGGATTGATTGACTGCTAGCAGAGTGAATTTACTCAATCCTAAAGGTTTACAAACCTTATATACCGCTATGCGCAAACAGTGCTATAAAAAAAATGAGTATCCTATGGACAAAACATGTATAGAATACCCCATGGACAAAACACGTATATGGTTTCAGGTTCACAAACATGAAAATAACTGCCAGCAGATTCTTCTTTGATGAGTCATATGACCATGTCAGCCTTAAATGTGTAATTATTTGTCTAAGTGCAGAGGGCAAAAACCGGATCAGAAAATGTTTCCATTTTAAAACTTGAACACAGAATAAATACGTTAACTTCTCTTACCTTTGGGCTTGTTAAAGCTTAGTGGGGAATTAAGTGGGGAAGATCTAATAACAAATTTAAGCATTAGTTATTAGATGTGAGTGAAATGTTTGCCCAGAATAGTTTTTTTTTTTTTTTTTTTTACTGTAGTCTTAGCCAGGGAAGTTAAACTCTAGAACAAAGTTCACTAACTGGTAATGATGTGCACATTGCAAGGAGTTCTGACTTAGGAGACAGAAGTTGAAATTTGGATTTTGTGTTCTTCAGGCTCAGGATGTGTCCCATGTTCTCCCTTATTTGATCAAGTTACAAGTTTACTTTAAAGACATTTCTAATTTAAGTGCAGAACATTTGTTGAAGAGGCAAAAGTCTTCACATCAGACATTTGCCATTCCCTACATTAATTTAAAGCTGAACTTCTGGGCACAAAAACTTTTGCTTAAATATATTCCTCAATAGCCATAAAGGATATAAAAGCTTTGTGCACCCTGAATGCCTTTGCATACCCAGTTATTACATAGCCTGAGCAGAGAGCAGAGCTGTTGGAGGGGCCCAGCAGGTCCTCCCACTACAAGCTGCCTGCAGAAAACTAGAGAAGGGGTGGATACAAGACCAATCACCCTGTACACAGAGAGAGAGCAGCAGTGACCTGTCTTTATCACAGGAAAAATTTGCATTACTGCCCAGATCTGGAAAAGCAAAGCACAACAAGATTCAAGTAAGAATATACAAGCCTCTTGTATTTAGACAATCTGTATCTCTGAGTTTAGCTTTAAGGTCTTGTTCACACCAAATGCGGTGCGTTCCATAGCGGTAGCTGCTGGAACGCACCGCAATCCCTCACAAAACTTCCCCCTGTGTTGTGGAAAGGGGCGTGGCGGGGGTGCCATTGAATTCAATGCACCGCCACACCCCCTCCCGCCCCAGAACGCAGGGGGAGGTTTTGTGAGGGATTGCAGTGCGTTCCAGCAGTTACCGCTATGGAACGCACTGCATTCGATGTGAACAAACCCTAAGTAAAGAGCAATGGGCTGAATTGTTTTCATCTTTAGAAAGACACAAAATAACATCCTGCCTTGGCTGCAGTAAACAAAAAGTGACATTTCAGGAGTTTTTTTTGGAAAAATTGTATTGCTTTACAGGCATTTTACAGCTTTCCACTACTCAAATGCTTGTCCTCTTAGGAAAAAAAGTAAGTTTATTTATGCTCATGGTCACTACTCACAGGTATCATCTCAAGACTAGAATCAGAAGACCTTTTAAAAGTCCAGGAGCCAGGAAGCTTTCTTATTCGTGTCAGTGAGAAGATCCACGGCTATGTTCTCTCATATCGCTACGAAGAAGGATACATGCATTTTCTTATAGATGCTTCTGGCACCGCCTACAGCTTTTTGGGAGTGGATCAACGACAGCATGCAACTCTGGCTGACCTTGTAGAGTATCACAAGGTACTGCTATTGTAATAAAACATGCTGTTTACTCAGCTCCTTGTACAGGCTTGTTCATATCTTTTGGATTAATATTTTTCCACTATTTGCAAGTAACAGTTAAAATACATTATAGCGTATATTTCTCAAATAACACCACCGAACACCACCCAAAACTGATCCTTCTGTTTTCAGCAGAATGAAACGAGGTTCAGCCTCCTGCCAGGTGGTTTGAAGGAAGCAAAATCCAGCTCTAGGTTATGCAAAAATTTAATTACCTAACACCAAAGCTAACTTTTTTCTTTTTTCTATCTTGTTTAAAAGAAAATGATAAACCTGTACTAGACTCAGGACAATTGATATTTTTGCATATATATATATATATATATAATTTTTTTGTTGTATTCATGTTTAGTCACCTTTTAAAGGGTGATCTCAAAGGGTTCTGAATCAGGATATCAAAACATTTAACTCCTGTAGATGGCAGAGGTGGAGCATGGTAGAGGCTGATGGTATAGCATGTCATCTCTGTCTATGGTTTTCCTCTTAACAGAGACTGGTGTCGAGTAACTGAGTTTTAAATTATACAAAATCTGTGATTTTGTATAATTCAAAAGAATGATACTAACTAAATTTTTGTAACTTGTTTGAATTATACAAAATCACAGAGCAACGTAGACTGAAACATTTCTAATTTGCGGTAGGAGTTCTGGCTGTTGCAGTGTAGATGCGGTAACTGACACTGGGAGAACCAGTTTTGGTAAAGACAGAGTACCTGAGAGCTAAGAACATGTAGAACAATGGAGGAGTCTAATTAAAGCTGAAATTTAGACTGCCAAAATTATAACTTGACTGATTCTCCAGTTCCCCCAGGCAACCTACAAAATTATTGTTTTACTTATAGAGTGAGCTGTTTTGTAGGTAAAAGATATTTTTGACCCACTGACATCATCACTGGGTCTCCTCAGTTTTTGAATTAGCTGTAGCTGATAGCAGTTGTAGGCAGTTCAATCCAATAAAGGGATGGGCTGAGAGGCCAGTGAGGAAGGGGCTGCATGATGTCAGTGGGAGATGGAAGATATTCAGGTATAGGAAGCTTCTAGTACCACTGTTAGAAGCTTACCAGATGCAATGATAATATAGTAGGCAATTTCTGAACAGAAGAGGACTAATATTTAAGGTAAAGCCAGGTTTAAGTGTGAAGATGAAGTGGGTCTGCACTCATTCGAGGCTACTTTGTTAGTGGGTCCTGGCCTGCCTCAGTGGACAGGGACCTGAATCAGACCAACATCTATTCTGTGCTATAGTTAGAGATTTCCAGGGAGAGGTAGTTTGTGTTTTTACACACTAGGGGGTTGATTTACTAAAGTCAAATAGGCTGTTCACATTGTAAGGGGATTTGCTCTTTGCAGGGGATGTTTCCCTTTAGTTTGGTGAATGTGATATAATTTCACTGTGCAAAGAATACCCAATCGTGTGCAATGAAAATAAAAAAGACAGTATTTTTGCTAGCACATTGGGTGATGGAAGTCAGCAGAGCTTCACCTCATCCACTAAACTAAGGGGAAACCTCCCATGCAAAGTGCAAATTCTCTTGCAAAGTGAACAGCCAATTTGCCTTTAGTAAATCAACCCCTAGGAGACTTACTAAAAGGGCGAGAGAGCCAGTCGGTCAGAAAGACTGGGACTGGTGCAGTTTTGTCTGGCTAGGGAAGCAGGGAGAGCTGAGTGATAGTCAGGAGGCTGAAATCTCTTTATAGTTATATCATGCTGAAATATACCTTCAGTGGGAAAAGGTTCTATTATCCTGCTTAGCTGACAAATAAAAGTGGCCTGAAAGCTGTTGTTTTGGGTTTCAGCAGCCACAGAGCAAAGACCTCTGTTGAACATTAATAGGTAAATATTGCTCAGGAGGGGGGCAACTAATGTATAATTATTGTATTTTAGCTGAGAAAGGTTTAAATCAAGGACTAAAACATAAAATCAGTGCAGCATTACATGTTTTCCCAGTGTACAGTATATAGGAGCAGGGAAGTTATAGAGGCAGGGGAAACTGATGTGGTTTACATGGGAAAATGAACTCCTGGTTTTATATTAGGTAGGTAAAACATTAGCATTATGGGAGTAAAATGAAACTTATGCTCTAATGTATGCACTGTTTTTTTGTTTTTAAAAAAAGGTTTACTAATGCAGTCACATCTTCTTTTTTTATTTTTTGACAGACTGAGCCCATTACATCTTTGAGAAAGGAGCTGCTACTGTACCCATGTGGTCAACACAAGAACATCTGTGACTATAGTGACCTCATATAAAAGGACTGGACTTTTTCTTCTCATGACTAAACTCATGTTTACTAGGACAGAGCATCCTTATTTATCCAGTATGCAAAGAAACTCATAGAATCATGTATCTGGCCGTGTGATTCCAAAGGATACATAAACGCCTGAAGCAACTATATGGCTTTATCCTCCAATGCCATGGTTAGATAGCACCTGGACTATTTCATGCCCTATGTATTTTGCTATATTTAGAAGGACACAACTAAAACAGAACCACCTAAGCTCTAAGTTTAAGTTGCAGGAACGTTGTATCATCAGTGCACTGTAATAAAAATCTTTATTAACAATACAAACAGAAATCTTTTAATAAAGTTTGTTACATTTTCTTGTTGCATTCGATATAAATTTTAGTCTCATAAATCGGATAATTTTCCATTTGATATTATGGCTGTGGCACTGATGGAATACCAGATGAGATCTAGAACTTTCCTTGTGGCCAGCAGTTTTATGCTAGGGAATATAAAGATTTAGACCATCCTTTTGTGTCCACCAGTGTTATGTTGGATGAGTTACCAGAAAGCTGCATCTTTAATGATAATCAATAGCCATTATTTTATTCAGAGGATGGTTACGAAAACGTTCAGTGGAAATTACTCTTATACAAGACTAAATGCTATGAAGGCTTCCTATGATCTTTGGCTTCCTAGGAACGGTCCTTCCAGACCTGAATGCTAGATACATTTATTTATAAAAGTGTAGTGCCTGTCTATACAGTTTTTTTAAAATTTTATTTGTAAATCTGCTGTGAAGTCTCCGCACCTTGTACTGCTGTCAACACCAATTGGTGTATTTAATATCCAATTGCAGAGCCATATGTCCTGTGAAATAGAATGTACATTCATTCTATGCAAATGGGGGCAAAAACAAATGTTAGTATATTTTCTTTTCAGGTCAAATGTTATATCAGGAAAATACTGCATTATGTCCACTAGATGGAGCTGAGCAGCATAGGAAATAGGTATTTAACTTCCATTCGCAGAGAATGAATGTTCAAGCAGGTTCACAGCACAAATGGCTCTGTGATTTTTTTTTTTTTATATATAAATGCACCAATTATTGTCTGCTTTGCAGATAGCAACATTGTTGGCATTCTGATGTGTGTGGTCATTCAGTTGACTATTGGGCTGCCTGTCAGGTGTCAAACAGGCAACTGAAGAATCTTTTACAGCAGTGTAATAACACTGATGCGAGGCATAATGACAAACAAACTGAATAAATGTATGGTTTATTTATAATTTAAGTGACATCCATCTTACAATCATCACATTGCAGCTTCAATACCATTATGTGCATTGAAGAAGGTACCCCTTTTTTTTTTTTTTCCTCACGTTGGCTTCACAAATACTATCACACTTAAAACAAACTGTTGGCTATGCTAAGCTGTAGGTTCTCAAAAAAATGGTAAGTGTACAGGAGGAGGTCCTTATGACTGGTTCAGTTCTTTTTTATTAAAACACCTTTAATGTAACCACCTCTTTCTAGATTATGTCCCAGCACGTTAAAATGGATATATGTATATGGTGTTTGTACTGTATGTATGTATGTATGTATATGTTTGTGTGTGTCTATATGTGTATATATATTATATACAGTATATATATATATATTAGGGATGCACTGAATTTTTTGAAGACCAAGAATGAGTACTGATACTTTTCCTCAAGTACTTGCCGATTCCAATTACCGATACTATTTTTTTAATGTCGTGTAAAAGTTTTTTTCTAAAACAATACAGACTAATGATTTTAAGACAGTGGTGGTGCACCAGGGCCCAGTCCCAGCTGCAAACGCTGCACCCCTGGTAGTTCTGCCACTGACTCCAATCTGTAGAGGGACTACAAATCTCAGCAATACATTATACAGCAATGCAAAATACCACCAGCTATAGAGGACTACAAATTCCAGCAATACAAAATACCACTAGCTATAGAGGGCTACAAATCCCAGCAATATATTATACAGCAATGCAGAATAATACCATCAGCTAGAGAGGACTACAAATCCCAGCGATACATCATACTGCAATGCCGAATGGCAACTGGCTATAGAGGACTACACATCCCAGAAATGCATTATACATTAATGCAGAATAATATGAAGCTATATACTCTGTGCTGCTCCGGGCTGCCGGCCTGATGTCTCCAGTGGAGGATAAAGTGGGCTGTGTGGGGTCTCAGGAGGGACGTGCAGGGTCTCAGGAGGCTGTGCAGGTTCTATGGTGGGCTGTGCGGACTCTCAGGTGGCTATGCGTGGTCTATGGTGGGCTGTGCGGACTCTCTGGTGGGCTCTGTAGGTTCTATGGTGGGCTGTGTGGACTCTCAGATGGGCCGTACAGTTTCTATGGTGGGCTGTGTGGACTCTCAGGTGGGCTGTGCAGGTTCTATGGGAGGCTGTGTGAACTCTCAGGTGGGTTGCGCAGACCCTCAGGTGGCTACGCGGAGTCTATGGTGGGCTGTGCAGACTCTCAGGTGGGCTCTGCAGGTACTGTGGTGGGCTGTGCGGACTCTCAGGTGGGCTGTGCAGGTTCTATGGGAGGCTGTGTGAACTCTCAGGTGGGTTGCGCAGACCCTCAGGTGGCTACGCGGAGTCTATGGTGGGCTGTGCAGACTCTCAGGTGGGCTCTGCAGGTACTGTGGTGGGCTGTGCGGACTCTCAGGTGGGCTGTGCAGGTTCTATGGTGGGCTATGTGTGGTCCATGCTGGGCTGTGCAAGCTCTATGCTGGGCCATGAGGGCTCTATGCTGGGCTGTGCAGGCATTATGCTGGGTTGTGAGGGCTCTTTATTGGGCTGAGCAGGATTATACCAGGCTATCTGGTCGTTGTCGGAGTGGAGGAGGAGAAGATTTTCTGCTGGTCTAGATTCTGTGTGATCTGTATTTAGCTCTGGTGAGATCTCTATTCAGCCCTGGTGACATCTGGACGCAGCTCTGGTGACATCTGGACGCAGCTCTGGTGACATCTGGACTCAGCTCTGGTGACATCTGGACGCAGCCTGTGACATCCAAACAGGGAGGTAATGTTCTTGAAGGATGCTTTTTTTCCTCCCCTCCTTGGGGGAGTGAGGAGTCTTTGCTCAAAGGAGTATCTCCCAGTGTGCTTGGTTTGATGCCCAAGGCTGGAACTCAGGCCTAAAGGGTGTCACCACTCTGTAAGCTGGCTATATGCTAAAGGTCACATGGGCCTAGGAGATATTCTGCTATTGTCATTTGAAGAATGACTACTAGCTGTAGGAGCCCCTAAAGGTTCTGGATATTCCACCTCCTCCTATCCTATCTTCATATCAAGCAGGAATAAAGAGTTTTAACAGCATTCAAGTCTGCACCTGTATTTCTGCTGCAAGAAAATGTAATCTAGAAACACCTGGGGAAAAGGTACTCCAAAGTGGAGCCCCTTTTGAATTTCCAAAACCCCCTTAGGTGGAGGTACTGAAGATTTAAGAACTCAGGAAAGAAGCTGTAACTCCTACTTAGTGAAGACTCAAAACCACTTGTTACCTTGTCAGGGGATGTAATGGCTGCAAGGTGAGGGGAGTCTCACTTGACTGAGACTGCTGTAAGGCCACAGTGCCAATTACTGAGCCAAGAACTTCTGTGCAGTTTAGTTTCCCCTTCACCACTTTGCTTTGTTTTAGAGTGCATAAAGGTGAACTAAAGCTTTGCTCATGTTAACTAGATGGAGCTTATTAGGCGGGGCACGGGGTGTTCCTGGTGTGCCTGGGCACACCCTAATAGGGTTTCCACCTGTCTGGGATTCACCTGGACAGTCCAGTTTTTGGGTCCTGTGTTCAGGTTTAAGGCCAGCTGACACTCGGACACAAGACACTAAGGGGGCTATTCACGAAGGAGCCGAAGGATCCAGCCGTAGCTTCAACTCTCCTTGGTCACCAGAGCCCTTCACAATAGCCCGTACAGCAGCTGAAGGTGGTCAAGCGGCTCAGCCGAGCCGAAGGCATATGCATCGGCTCGACTGAACCGATGTAACAACCGCAGCGGGTTGAACGGCCCACCGAAGGCCTGCCGTAAGCCCCACAAATGACAGCTAGGCAGAGCCAACCATGATCTCATGGCTGGTCCGCCCACTTGTAATGACAAATCGGCATCCCCAAATGACCTGGGGACGCTGATCTGTCATTAAACAATAACAACTGGGCGGAGCTGGCCATGATGTTGCGGCCGGCTCCGCCCAGTTGTTGTTCATTGGCCGAGACCTGCTAGAAGACTCTAGCAGGTGCTGGCCAAGAGGAAACAGTTGGGCGGAGCTAGCTGTTACTGTTAGCTCCGCCCAATTGTTTTTTTTTAAATCTTTCTTTTTAAATTTTACCATTTATTTACATTTTAAAAATATTTTTTCAACCTTTTTTTTAAATTTAACTCTTTTAATTGATTTTCTATTATGCTCGGTGCCACAGAGGTGATGTGTTGATACAACTTTGGTGCAATGAACACACTGATCTCTGCTCCAGCCAATAACAGCCAGCAGCAGCTCCTGGTAGTTTGCAGCACTGAACTTGAGTTGAAAAATGCAGTTCTGGGCTCTCCAAGAAAGGGACTAGACTTGTGACTGTGTCATCATTGAAGGCTTCGCTCTGATCATGCTTTTCCCATTCTCAGCTCCATCTAGTTGCCATACTGCAGTATTACAATACATTCGACATATACAAAGAACATTCGTTTTTGCCTTTATTGGCACATAACAAACTTTCACAGAGATTTGCAAGGTGAATGACTCTCTTTATAAATAGACCCTTATCTAAAGTGAAAGTTGCAGAAAAAGAACTCGAAAAAGAGGCCTTGCCTTTATTGAAGGGTAGATTGCTGAAAGACAAATCTAACTCAAAAAAATGTTAGAAATATCTGGCCAACCAATAGAGGCTCTGATGTTGAAATGTTAAAGGGTCAGGGTGGATAGGCTTTGATGAGCAAATGTAGCATTCTAAACTGCCGGTGGCCATCTTCGGACTTGACTTCTGAGTCAATTAGATGGCCGTGCAGGCGCGAT